CCATTGGAACAGACACAATGGGTGGAAAGGATCAAATTGCCTCTGTCCCTGCAGCACTTGTGTACTCCTAAATTCAGAGGACTGGGGGGGTGTTCCTCTTGAGCAGGTTTGTGAGAATAGAGGAGGTATAGGGGATAAGGAGGAAAGTCATGTTGAAGAAAAGAGATCCAGTAATATTACATTAGATGCAATATAATTTCACTTGTATTTAAAATATCTCTTTTTTCATTATATTCACAATTTTAGAATTTTAGAAATCAAATAGAATAAAAAGTACATGAGAATTGGAAACTCTGGAAAATTAAAATGAGATGAAAATGCTCAGCTATTCATGTTGCACTGGATTAACGTTAATGAGAAAGCACCTATCCAGTAGATCTGTATTTCAATATGGTTTCATGCCTGGTTATGGGATACAGATTAATTTGGTTGCCTTGGGGATGACCTGGAGAGCGGTGTATGTCCCTATTGGTTTTGCTGGACCTTTTGGCAGCTTTCAGTAACATCAACCATGGTATCATTCTGAATTGCTTTGTTGGGATGGGACTTGAAGACTCTGTTTTATAGTGAACCCAGAGGTTAGTGCTGGGGGACTTCTGTTCAATTGTTTGGATGTTGGCCAGTGGGATCCCTCAGAGCTCAGTTGTGTGGCACACAGTATTTAATATACACATGAAACCACTTGGAGAGGTTGTTCATAATGTTGAGGTCTGGCACCATCAGTATGCAGATGACACCCACCTCTTTTATCCCCTTTTCTTCAATCTTCAAGTGATAGCTGTTGGTGTTGTGTTCCTTCAAGTAATTTCTGACTTTTTGCAACCCTTAGGCAAACCTATCACAGGGCTTTCTAGGTAAAATCTGTTCATAGGGAGTTCAGTCAGTGCCTTCCTCTGAGACTAAGAGAGTGTGACTTGCCTAAGGTCACCCAGTGGGTTTCCATGACCAAGCGGGGATCCGAACCCTGGTCTCCAGAGTCCAAGTTCAGTGCTCAAACCAGTATATCACCTGGCTCTGTGAAATGATAGTTAAACTCCCTTATTTTAATGAATTTTGACAGAGGGATAATTTCAAGGGAGGAAATTAATCTGGTGCAGCAAAAACAAAAGTCTTTTGGCATATTAAAGACTGGCAAGTTTGATTTAGCATGAACTTTTGGGCACTCCAGTCACTTGCCACATCTAATAAAGTCAGTTGGAATCCATGAAAGTTCATTCCAAATAAAGCCTCTCAGTCTTAAAGGTATCACCAAATTCTTTGCTCTTTTGTTTTATTGGCATTTATCAAAGAGAAAAAGAGGGGGGAATGTGGTTAAACACAAAGCAGGGACAAGTAGTAACACAACATCCTTCATTATGCCAACTTCTGCTGGTAAAAAGGTAGACACAGAATTAGGAAAGTGCAAACTCTCTCTTGGACAGGAAATCTTTTATGGACACTGTACCTGAGGAGAAAATGTACTGCTCCTAAGGCTTGGGGTGACATTATATATCATCTCTCAAAATATTCAAGTGAGTTTCCTCATTTGGTACTTGCCCCGATTTAATAATTTAAAAGATCAATATTTGTACCAATAATGTGGGTTGGGACAAAGAAAGAACCAGGCAACTGGAAGACACTGCTTCAGTTTTTCCACATGTCTCTCCTGACAGTATGCATGTACCCTTTCATTCTCTGATGAAATTAGTGCAAACTGTTGTGTCACTACTGCAGTGTACACTTACAATGTAAACCTAACCTGTAGAAAGGTACATAGAATGAATGAAAACAGGCAACAAATAATACTATTCAAGATGTACAAAATTATTTTGATGAAATGCTACTTTTGGCATTTAAATGCATGAGGTTTTATATTTTTATTTTATTTTATTCCTCCTGTTCTTCTTGTACTACATCCATTTTTGGAAGCCTCTCTTGTGTCATATTATCTGGCCCTTCCCTACTGCCAAGTCAAGTTTCTAATGTATAATTTAGAACTCTATAATTTAGAGCTTGTATGTCTTTGGTTAGTACTTGAATGGGAGACTGCCAACGAATACCAGGTGCTGTAGGCTATATTTCAAATAAAGGAATTGGCAAAACCACTTCAGGGTATTCCTTGCCTAAGAAAACCCATGAAATTCATGGGGTTACCATAAGTCGACAGGCAACTTGGAAGGCACACGCACACACACATATCCTTCATATAAATTATGGACATGGATCTTACACCAGATAGACACTGCTTTTATGGAACACAGAGAACACCAATTTTATGGAACACAGAGAACAGACAATAGCAGGCAACAACCTTTTACGAACCTGCAGGTGATTCCTTAAAAGATATCAAGTGAGCTAAAGTATCATCTGGGGGAGAGACACTAGGCCGAGCACCATCGGGCCTAGAGTAAGAAGAAGAGCCCTCCCTCCATTACCATCCGATGTCATCTGGGGGAGAGACACTAGGCCGAGCACCATCGGGCCTAAAATAAGAAGAAGAGCCCTGGCCATTACCCTCTGATGTCATCTGGGGGAGAGACACTAAGCCCAGCACCACCCAGCCTAGAATAAGAAGAACCCTTATTTCTTAAAGGATGGGTGGGATTTGGGATTTTATGTTTTGTTTAATGGAAATTGTAATGTTGTAAGCCGCCCCGATTGCTCTGCAGAGGGGCGGGATATAAATAAAAATTATTATTATTATTATTATTATTAAAGAGGTAAAAATGTAGTTTAGCCTCTCTGTATCAATGCATTTTATATTTACTAAATTGGAGTTATTACTTATAATGAAAGTACCTTTTTGTTCAGTAATAAAATACCTTCTTTTGATTATAAATTATTATAATTGCTGCTTGATTAATCTTTTAACTGTAACAAAATAGCACTTTTTAAAAAGCAAACAAAACAAAACAAAACAAAAAAAACACCCCAAAAAACCCCACCCCAACCCTTATTTTCTGTCACTTTCAAAATACGTCTTAAGTTTAACCACCATGAAAACTGATGGTCTTATGAATCAAAAGCTAGCAACAGTGTAGCACAGACTATTAGGAATTGTTGAAAAGAAGGGCCTTTACATGGTCAACTGAACCTGTCACCTTTCCATGTAATGGTTGGGTTTGAGAGATGCCCCATTCTTACTTGCCAGGGATACTTTGAAGTGATGCTATATCAAAGACATTGTGTATAAGTAAAATATCACATCACTCACAGATGCTTAGCAAAGACTAAAAACTATTTATCACTAGCAGCTGTTAACCCTGCTGGAGAGGGCACCAACATTGAGTTGTCTGGCTCTCTAATCTGG